CTTGTAAGTCATTCACAGCGATCCTGGGATGAGTAGCTTGGATCTAGAGTATTTGCATGTTTTCGTGAGCTCATTCGACTATCTGAACAACTACCGTTACTTCTACTAAAATCTGGACCGGGTGTAGAGGTTTTTACATAGCCTTCTAGAAAACCGTCCAATGATCTCTTTTAGCACTTTCTAAGTATCCTACGATCTAACTCACTTCATTATTTGTTACTGTCTTGTTTATCATTTCTTTCCACAATGCCAAGTTTCTTCCTGACGGTGATGATGCTATTAGGCGCACACCCCCCATCAGTTCCGTAGTAACTCGCCATATTCACGACGGAAAAGATCTCACAAAGACCTCCCATCAAAATAGCACTTGCCTGAACACTGCTGCTAGAAAGAGGAAAGTAACGTTATCGTTTACATTGAAGCTTCCTGCTTCAATGCTCCTTTTGATATATGTCCACGATTGGGCTAGAAAAATTGCTCACAAATCACAAATACCTTTTCAACAATGGAATCGGCTGCACAATCTCTAGCTATTATAATTATTTATTGTTTATGGTGCATCTTAAATGGACAATATCGCACCTTATCTATGCTGATTAATTCTAGAGCTGAGAACATATTATTTATACGTAATCAGTGACGTTTGACACAAAGTTCTGATGTCAGTGTGATTTACGACCTGGTGTGGCAACGTTCATACTGACAACGTTGATGATTTTTCTCACCTCTGTCAGTCCTAACCAATTAATCAATTTTGCCAAAAGTTTCCGGAAACATATTAGTGCACTTTCTATCGCCGTTGCCTTTCGACTCTAATCAAATTGCTGAACTCTTTTCCAGAAGTGCGGATTATTCCTGAATTTGTTTCCATGTCGATAAAGTTTTACAAGTCAATTGTCGAAAAATGGTTTGTATGTCACCAGGTGCTCTACAAAAGTAAACAGGGTAGGGTCAATGCGAGGAAGACAGACTTTCAACGTGGCGACGTGCAGGACTTTTCTGAACTGTTAGGCAGATGATAGACCACATCCAAATGATACAAAACTCAGCCTCAGGCCAGCTGCCATAGCCATGAGTAACGGCTAAATGATTAGAGTATCCGCAATAAGTTTTCATTCTTTCGCTCAGGTATGTAGTTTTATTGTCGGCTTACAAAGCTGTGGGAACGAAGCCTGTTCTATTGATATGTCTGAGACATTCAGTACCGAGGTGATGATTCTCTCTTGTAGTTGCTAGAAATAAAAATAGCCACGCTATCTTTCGTCAATCTAGAGCACCCTGAGTAGAACCTAATCTGAGACATGAAAGCACTTAGTGAAAGTTGACTGTCTCATCCTAGAGTGGTTCAAAGACGAGGTAATACAGGTAACTGGTTCGCTTCATATACGCTCTCGATCAAAAAAGCACAGAAATTCCGGCTATGTGACATTTTTTGAATTAAGCCTCTAGTTTGAGCGAACTTCCAAAAAGCTGAGTGAAATCATACCAGCCTCGCTTTTCACCCTTTACATTTCGACAACTATATAGGCGATTTCCTCATATAGTGAACAGCAGGACAGAATGGACAATAAGGTTGCTTGAACTGTACTGTCAAGTGAACTTATGTAACCGATCCCAAATACGAGTGGTTCTCCGTAAAGCTGTATATTATCGAATGTGGAGGTTGGGGCGAAAGAGAGCTATCTCGCTCAATTCCTATTAATCAGGTAATTTCAAAAAGTGGACGGGTCAACATCGCTTCCACAGTACCGAGGTGATGCAAGAGAAACTCACTTGTTCTG